GAGTAGTCACCTTGCGAGTAGTGGAACGCGCTCGTCTGTGCACGGAGGCCAGTTTCGTAGGCTAGCGCCTCCAGGTCCAACGCCGCATCCGCAGCCACTTGCTCAGCCGAACGCTTGCCTCTGCACCCCCAGGACCCGGCGCCGACCCATCGCTCCTGCCACTGAAGGGCGTCGGCGAACCGGACCTTGGCCCACAGACGATACATGGCCGACAGCACTGTGATCGGACGAGAGTCGAGCGGGCCAGCTTCGCTTGCGTCCGCCGTCTTGGCGATCCTAGAAGTGGAAGCCTTCGTGCCACTTCTTGAGGGCTCGAGGCCACGTGCCAGTGCCAGGATATCCGCCGAGTCGTCAAAAATGGCGGGGCTGCAACACGCGAGGGCTGCAGGGGCTGCCGGCTTCCAGGAGTCCAGACCAGCTGCGCACGGCTTCGTGCTTCTTGCTGCCTCTGCCAGCTGCTCACCCGTGATCGCCTCGCACTCCGCGGGGCTGCTCGTCATCACCTGCCGAAGCGTCGCGATGAACTCTTCGACCTTTGGCGTCGTGACTTTGAACTCATGGAAGATCGGTGTCCATTCGTCCCAAATCGCCAGGGGCTGCTCGGTCATGCAGGCCGTGTACGAGCCGTCCTTGAGTACCATCGCCTTCTCACCCTGCGGGGCCCCGTTCTTCACGTATTGAAAGGCGTCCTTCTCCGTCGCCTGGAGTCGCTGCTTCCACGCACTGATGCGCTCCGATTTGTCCCGCCTCTGGCTGTCCACGCACTCCTTCTCCAGCGCTTTCACGAGGGTTGCGGCGGCGTCCCGCCCCTGCGTGCTGTCTGCGAAGGTGCGCAGGGCCGCGCCTCAGGCGGGGGTCCTCTGCAGCGTCGTGTTCAAGATGCTCTTCTGGGTGCTTTCCGCCTGGTGTCAGTACTCCCGCAAGGCCACGAGCTCCTGTGCGCGTCTGAGGGCCCTCGCCAGCTGTCGGCTGCGCAGCGTCGCGGCGGACGCCTGCTGCTCTGGAGGGCGTGTGCAGACCTTACGGAGGCAAACCTCTCCACGGCCGCGGCCGCCATCCCTGCTGCCGCCAGAGCGGCCTCCGCACTCTGGCACCACCAAGTGCCTTGTCCAGCTTGCCAGCCCGCAGGGCCGCTCGAAGCCAGCCGTCTCGGCGGGACTCCGCGCCTTTGTGTCCCCGTGGCAGCTTGCAGTACGTCTTCTGTGGCCCCACCTTTCTGGGCATGGTCCACGTCTGGGACCCAGCCGGCACGCGCATGACCAGCTTCAGCGCCAAATTTCACGGGCGAAGAGCGGTATAAGGTATAAGATAAACTGTTTCGCTGTCGGGGGCGCCTGTCCCAGGCGGCTGGAAAGCTTCTGCCCTTGCGGTGGCACGTCGGGGTATAAATTTTCCAGCCGCCCTGGGGCAGCGCCCCCCGACGGAACAGTTTATTTTACACCGTTCTTCGCCCGCTACAGTGGAGAACCATTCCAAGAAACACCCTGCTTGCATCCAGGGTGCCCTGGGTCTCTTGGGATTCGATGGTTTTGCTATGGAGAGCGTGACGTTCCCACACCAAAAATCAAGGGACGTCCTGGGGTCTCAGGGTTGGGTTTCCTGTGGAAGGTTTCTCGTGGACTGGCCCCCACTATAATAAGTGCCTGTCGTGCTCCGCGTTGTGTACGGTAGTTTCATGCGGCCAAAAGCGCGCTGGCGAGGTTGAACCCCGCATGATAGAAGGACGCGGAAGCACCGAGGGGCACGGAAATGCCCCAGGAACCGACGGCATTCGACCTTGAGCGATCGGGGCCGCGATCGGTGCAAGCTTGAACAATCGATGCGGCTTCAAAAACCTCTGCGCGCGCCAACGCCGCGCGAACCTACAGTACAGTCGGGGCCCTGAAGAAGGAGCCCTTTTCGTTAGGGAGGGGCTCCGTGTTCCTTGATTGCCTCACAGTTTGCCTCGGGTTTTCTTTTGGCTTTCGATGGGGAATCAGAGTTTTGCTTGTGGGGAACATGGGCCCCGTTCCTTATTTATCGTTCCTTACCTTGGGTTTTCTTTTGGTTTTCGATGGGAAATCGGAGTTTAACTTGTGGGAAAAATGGGCCCCGTTCCTTATTTATCGTTCCTTAGGTCAACGCCCCGACTGTACCCCCCCCTCCTCGGAGAGCAGCACCCCAGGGCCGCAGCAGACGTGGCGCTGGCCGGGGGCCGAGCTGTGCGGGCGCCCTCGGGTTGGCCCCGCTCGTGGGCCGGCGAGAGGCCCCCTTACAAACAGTCAGCCCGCATAGTGAGGATGGGCCCTCCTCCTCCTCCTCCTCCTCCTCCTCCTCCTCCTCCTCCTCCTCCTCCTCCTCCTCCTCCTCCTCCCCCTCCTCCTCCTCCCTCCTCTCCTCCTCCTCTCCTCCTCCTCCCCCTCTCCTCCTCCCCCTCCTCCTCCTCCTCCTCCTCCTCCTCCTCCTCCTCCTCCTCCTCCTCCTCCTCCTCCTCCTCCTCCGCCTCCTCCTCCTCCTCCTCCTCCTTCTCCTCCTCCTCCTCTTCCTCCTCCTCCTCCTCGTCCTCCTCGGCCTTCTCGGCGCATCCTTGGCCGCTTTCGTTGGCCGCGCCCCGCTCGAAAAGCTTCGACATGGGCGTCCACGGGGTGGTTGACTGAGAGCCGCCTCCCGCGCGCTGCGTCGTGCCACCCGGACCCCTCGTATGAAGTCGGGCATGTCCCTCTGCCAGAGGCAGATTCACAAGTAGTTAAAAGTAGGGTGGGGGTGTTTTTTTGACGTTTTTGAGCGTTTTTCCCTTATTCCGCGCTTGCACTGAAGGGGTCTTAGCGGATATGGAAAAATTTGGCGAAAGTTTCCCGCCGATTTTGGTAGCCGGCTGGGTTCCCTGTTCCGGGTTCCCGGATTCTTGGTTATTCGTTCCGGGCCGATTTCGGTGGGTTCCGGGTTCTTGGGTTCCCGGTCGATTCCCGGTCGATTTTCCGATCGATCTTTTTATCGATCCCACGATTCATATTCGATCTCATGATCGATCTTATTGTTCACCTCATTCAATCGATCCCACCATCGATCTCATCACACCATCCATTGGTTGGTTTTTTCTCTGGTGTAATAGAATGTTGTTTTGGTATGTTTCATTTTTCGTCCAACATCCGCCTGTAGGGGGACACTCCCGACCTAACTCTTGTACTTCCCGATCAACTCCGGTATCTCCCACGGCTGCACGCTCACATCGCCGGCAAGCGCCGTGGCGACGTCACCGCGGGTTGCGGCGTCCTCCAGGATGCCGCCCAGGAGGTCCTTGACCTCGGCCTTCTTCGCGGCCTCCCACCGAGCACCAGCATGTCCGTACGCACCGTGAACTGTCAAACTGCGCCAGCCAGCGTGTTGGAAGATTTAAAAGATGATGAAGTCTGCCCTGTTGTGCGTGCCGCTTTAAGCGGGCCGATTCCGGGACAATCTGTCGGACAGTCCAGGCGGCATATCGCTTGACGATGGCTTTGACTCCCGTGCGTTCCCGTGGCGTTACTGGGGCCCGCCACAGGAGGTAGCTGCCGGCAGCGTCGGTCTCCTGTGAAAGCGCCTTTTGGGTGCATGCTGTCGCGTGGGTCTCCACGAGGATGTTTATATCGTGTTGAGGTCCTGGATAAGTGTCCACTTTCCTGGCTGCTGGAGCCCGTTGATGTTGTGGCAGTACAGGGTCAGTTCCTCGCTCGGGCCCGGGTTGCCAGCCTCCCCAAATCTCTGTCCAGCATACGGCCTCAATCTGCACGCCAGCAGAACCGTTGCTGCACACGCTGCTGGTGGTGAGTCTGCACACGCTACACAAGATGAGTTCGCACATGCACAGCTGCATGAGGCCCCAATGGCCCATGGACCCCCTGCAGGACCCATTTCCCCAGATCACCCCCAGGGGCACGAAGATAATCGCGCTTCGCGCGTCGCGACGGAGAGCTGCCATTCTCCAAGGTGACCTCGCGTGGGCGCTAAGATAACCGCCGGGCGCGGTGCGCGAAGTTAAGGTGACCTAGTTTGCTGCATGCCGAAAGAGGAGCCTCATCATGGAGAGCCTCCGGCGCTGCCCAGTGTTCAAGCCCTTTTCCTCTTCCCAGCGCGCCGCCGTGGCCCGCGGGGTGTCGCTGGAGACCCTGCAGCCGGGCGACCTCATCGGCGAGACCGATGGCATCGCCATCGTGGTGTATGGGAAGATCGAGGCCAGGCGGGGCGGCGGCGACTGCCCGGAGATGATGCGAACCGGGGCATGGTTCGGCGCGGGGGGCGGCGCTGCCGCCGCCGCCGACGCCGGCGGGGAGGCGGGGGCGCCGCAGGGCGGAGGCGACTGCGAGGAGATGATGCGCACCAGGGCCTGGTTCGGCCTGGGGCACCTGGGGGACGGGGCCGCGGAGGAGCCTCGCGCCGGGGCAGCGCTCCGCGCCCACGTGGCCGCGGGGCCGAACGGGTGTCGCTTGGCCTTCGTCCGGCGCGAGGCGATCGAGGGCGCGCAGAAGCTGGCCATGCTGAAGAACAGGGGAACGAACCATGACATAACATAACAACTCGGAGGTCCGCGCGGATTTCTCGGATCGGCGCTGGAACCCCCCTTCCTGGCGCGCGGAGCGCGCCAGGGGCCGCGCCGGAGGCGCCGCCAGGGGGGTCCAGCGCCGATCCGAGAAATCCGCGCGGACCTCCGAGTCTTTATGCTTATGTCATCATTCGTTCCCCTAGAGAAGGTCCACATCTTCCGCCACCTGTCCCAGCAGCAGACCCAGACCCTGGTGGACTCCTTCGTGGAGCAGGCCTACTGCGAGGGGGACCACGTCGTGACCCAGGGGGAGCGCGGCACCGCTTTCTTCGTCATCTCCGCCGGCGAGGTTCGGATCGTGATCGGGGACAGGCTCGTGCGCACTCTCGCGAGCAACGACTACTTCGGGGAGCGGGCCCTGCTCTTCGACGAGCCTCGCACCGCCTCGGTGGTGGTGTCGAGCCCCTCGGCCACGCTGTGGAGGGTGGACAAGTCCACGATCATGTCCATCATGTCCACCCAGATGCAGCAGCAGCTCATCCAGCGGATCCGCCTCCAGGACACGACGGTGACCCTCAGGGAGCTGCGGCAGACGCGGCTCATCGGGGCGGGCGCCGCTGGCGTGGTGCGCCTGGTGTCGCACATCAAGACGGGCACGAGGTACGCCCTCAAGAGGATCAGGAAGGTGAAGGGCGTGGTGCCGTCCGAGGTGAGCCAGGATCGCAGAAGAAAACACGGCACAGACAGAAACTTTCGGAGCTCCGCGCGGACCTCTTGGCTCCGCGCCGGGCCCACCCCCAGCGGCGCCGCGCGCCAGGGCGGGAGGCCCGGCGCAGATCCAAGAAATCCGCGCGGAGCGCCCAAAGTTTATGTTTGTGCCGTTTAAACGGCATAAACATAATTTATTGGCGCTGAAGGAGGGAAGCTTATGCTTTTATGCTTGTACGCTTTAGGCGCTGAAGGAGCGTAAACATAAAACGGCATAAACATACATAAAGTTTATGTGTATGCCTCCTGTAGGAGGAGGAGGAGGAGGAGGAGGAGGAGGAGGAGGAGGAGGAAAAAACTTGGTCCTCCTCCTACAGGAGCTGAAGCTTCTTGCCGAAAACGATCACCCGCTGCTGCTGCATCTGGTGAAAACGTTCGAGACGCTGTCGAGCGTCTACATACTGACCGAGCTGTGCACGGGGGGCGAGCTCTACTCCGCCATCCGCGCGATCCAGGGCGTCCTCGACGTGAGGCAGGCGCAGTTCTACGCCGGGCTGCTGGTGCTCGTCCTGGAGGCCCTCTGCGACCGCAGCGTGCTGTATCGCGACCTGAAGCCCGAGAACGTCATGCTGGACGCGCAGGGCTACCTCAAGCTGATCGACTTCGGCATCGCCAAGAAGCTGCCGACGGGGGAGAACCGCACCTTCACGGTGATCGGCACGCCGCACTACATGGCCCCGGAGGTGGCACGGGGGAGCGGGTACGGCACGGAGGTGGACCTGTGGTCGCTGGGGGTCCTCGTCTTCGAGCTCGTCTGCGGCTACCTCCCCTTCGGCGAGAGCGAGGAGGCGCCCGAGGCCGTCGTCCGGGCCGTCATGCGCGAGGAGTTGGCCTTCCCAGCCGCCTACAAGCACGCGCCCGGCCAGGAGCTCATCCGGGGGCTGCTCAACCGCAGGCCCGAGCAGCGGCTCGGCGCGGGCATGGGCGGGTACGAGGACCTCAAGTCGGCCGCCTTCTTCCGCGCGGGCTTCGGGCCAGGCGGCCCCACGCTCTTCGACAAGCTGATGGACAGGGAGCTGGACCCGCCGCTGCTCCCCGAGAGGGAGGTCTACTGCGAGGCGGAGGACATGGAGGGCGTGGAGGACCTCAGCGACCAGGATGAGTTCGCGGCGTGAAGCCCACTGGCAGTCGGAGAAGCTCATTCCCCCCCTCCCCCTGCTCCTCGGATCTCCTCGGGAAGCGCCGGCTTCCAGGCACTCGGCGTCGTGGTTTGTGTTCAACACGGCTCCCTGGAGGCCTGAAACCCTTCATTTCCTGGGGACAGTCCAGGAGCCCGGTAAGGGCTCCCAGAAGCCGAACATCTGCAAAAACCTTCCATCGTGATTCTTTCACGGCGCGAGGATGTCAGGGCTGTGCGCCAACACCTGCTCTGGCAGGGCCAATCCTGCGCCCAGGAGCCGGTGCAGACGCCCTCATGGCCCGGCCTGGAGTGCGCATGCGTGCACCGACTTGGGGCCCAGGATTGGTTGGCCCAGACCATATACACAGCTTGCGGGAGCAACAGATATTGTACCCGAGACCGTTGTTGCCAATACCTATCACGGGGCGCGTTCTGACCAGAATTCCCGGGCCGGAAGAAGAAGCACAGCATGAGCATGAATTTTCAGCGGTCCGCGCGGGCATCTGACAGCTTGAAGTTCATGCCTTCCATCTGCTCCCTTTGTGCGGCGAATCAGCCGTGGAGGCCCCAGCGAGGTGAGCAAAGCGAGGGGGGGGGTCTGCGGTGTCGGTCTCGGACCGTCCTCCTCCGCCAGCCTGCGTTGTTGAGTCTTCAGGCTGCGCACAGACAGCACCCCCAGGTAGTCCTGGCTGGCCTGAGCAGGCACTCCGAGTAGCATTAAGTCGGGCCTGTCCTTCTACAGGAAGAACATGCAAAGCTAGTCAGGAAATCACATGGGGACTATTCTTATAGCATTTTTTGATCATGGTTGAGCAGCGTCTGACTATTTGATTTTTTTCTCGAGCATCGGCCTGTGAGGGGACAGGCCCGACCTGAGAGCAGCAGTTGCCGGGGGCCACACGCGAGCCCTACCGCCCTACCCCCCACGATTTCTGAGGGGGTTAGGGGTGGGGTTCGCCTCGCTCGGGAGCTCCCGAACGAAGCGAACCCCACCCCTACCCCTCAGAAATCGTGGGGGGCAGGGCGGTAGGGCTCGCGTGTGGCCCCCCAAGTTGGCCGCAACAGGCCCCCCCCCCGCGCAGCCCGCAGGCGGTCTCTCCGCATCCCCGGGCCCGGGCCTCTGGCGGCGCTCCTCCGCGCTCCAGGGCCCCTGGGCGTTGGTAGGGGCCTGCGCTGCGCGGGCGGCCATGTCAGGGCCATGCTCCCCCCGCCGTGGGGCGCCCGGCTGAACGTGGCGGACAGAGCGTGGAGCTCAAAAAGTCTGTCGGGGCCACTCCTCCTCCTCCTCCTCCTCCTCCTCCTCCTCCTCCTCCTCCTCCTCCTCCTCCTCCTCCTCCTCCTCCCCTCCTCCTCCGCCTCCTTATCCTCCTCCTCCCTCCTCCTCCTCCTCCTCCTCCTCCTCCTCCTCCTCCTCCCCTTAGTCCTCCTCCACCTCCTCCTCCTCTTCCTCCTGTGAGCGTGGAGCTCCAAAAGCCTGTCAGGGCCAGCTGCGCCGCAGGCCTGGAGGTTGACACCAACGCCAACATCGGCGGTCTGCTTCCACCGAGGGCAGAAGGCCCCGCTCTCGGTGGTGGTGGTCAGGTTCTGGCTTCCAGGGCGACCGAACTAGATCTTACCACCGACACCGACATCTATGGGATCCTCTTGCCCCCTGTGGAGGCAACACCCTGTGACGTTGGTGCCCATTTCCAGGCCTCTAAAGATACTAGCTGGCTGGTGCTCCGAGGAGGAGACGGTGCCTTTGATGGGCCTGTTTTCCACCACCACCACCACCATAAGTTGGATGGGGAGGGGGTCCTCCTCCTCCTCCTCCTCCTCCTCCTCCTCTTCATCCTCCTCCTCCTCCTCTTCCTCCTCGTCCTCCAACTGTGGGACTTGTCGGGGGGCCTGCTGGGGTGCGTGGCCGGGTGGCTGCCTGCGCGCAGCCCCGAAGCCTCACCAGCCTTGCCTTCTCCAGCGGCGGGCACGGCGAACCGACCGCGCCCGCGGCCGCACGCGTGGAGCGCGACCCCCGCGGCGCGTCTCCGGCGGTGGGCCGAAGGGCAGAAGCGGGGGAGGGGGAGGAGGAGGAGGAGGAGGAGGAGGAGGAGGAGGAGGAGGAGGAGGAGGAGGAGGAGGAGGAGGAGGAGGAGGAGGAGGAGGAGGAGGAGGAGGAGGAGGAGGAGGAGGAGGAGGAGGAGGAGGAGGAGAGGAGGAGGAGGAGGAGGAGGAGGAGGAGAGGAGGAGGAGGAGAGGAGGAGGAGAGGAGAGGAGGAAGGAGGAGAGGGAGGAGGAGGAGGAGGAGGAAGGAGGAGGAGGGAGGAGGAGGAGGAGGAGGAGGAGAGGGGAGGGAGGGAGGAGAGGAGGAGGAGGAGGAGGAGGAGGAGGGGGAGGGAGGAGGAGGAGGGAGGAGGAGGAGGAGGAGGGCCAGGGCAAACCCAAGAGTCATCAACGATGTTGGGATAAGCCCTCCCTCCAATCTCTCTCTTCATAGGCCCGTACAACGGTTCATTTCCACTGAGTGAACTGCCCCGCTGGAAGACAACCATTTGAAGACCCTGAAGCATGCCAAAACATTATTCTCGGGATTCCAACGCCACGGATCAACATGACGGTTGCGTCTTGACGATCCTGAATCGTGCCAGAACGCCATCCCTAAGACTTCGACACCGCGAATCAACGTATATGCTGCGCCCTCGAAATCCGGAATCCTTTCAAATCACTATTGTTGGTACGCTGATCTTGGAAATCCGTGAAACCCTTGCAGGAACCAAAATCGAATGTGCGCGGCACTAAAGCGAGAGCAACATTTTGAAAAGGAACCTCCCTCAGACCGTGAAATTCTTGCAATTGTTTAAACGAATGTGCGCGGCGCTATGGCGAGAGCTACGTTTAAAACAACAAACATTCGCTTTCAATCCGTGAAGCTCTTGCAGTGATTCGATCGAATGCGCGCGGCGCTAAGGCGAAAACCACATTTTGAAAACGACCCGCCCTCCATATGTGAAACTCTTGCCAATGTTTAAGCTTCAGGGTCATAAATGGTGAGGATAACTCAGGCGACACGCCCGGCCCGCCCTCAAAACTAGCCTCGGGCTGCCACAGGGAGAAGTTGCTTAGAAGGAAAAGGAATGGAGGAGGAGGAGGAGGAGGGGGAGGAATAAGAGGAGGAAGAGCAGGAAGAGGAAGAGGGTGAGGATGGGGGAGGAGGAGGAGGAGGAGGAGGAGGACGAAGAGAGGAGAGGAGGAGAGGAGAGAGGAGGAGGAGGAGGAGGAGGAGTAGGAGGAGGAAGGAGGAGGAGAGGAACGACGACGACGACGACGACGACGAGGGACGAGGAGAGGAAGAGAGGAGGAGAGGAGAAGGAGGAGGAGGAGAGGAGGAGGAGCAGGAGCAGGAGGAGGAGGAGGAGGAGGAGGAGGGAGGAGGAGGAGGAGGAGGATGAGGAGGAGGAGGAGGGGAGGAGGAGAGGAGGAGGAGGAGGAGAAGGAGGAGGAGGAGGGGGAGGAGGAGGAGGAGGAGGAGGAGGAGGAGGAGGAGGAGGAGGAGGAGGGTGCGTGGCTGAAGTGGACTTCCGCGATGCGGATTCTTGTTGTTGTTGCTGAACTCTCATTTCTGAAGAATAATTATTGTTGATACCCCCGTCCGGTGCACATTGTTTTTGATTGAAGTGCCCTTCCTGGGGCCGCACCCTGTTTTTTATCAGGGAAAGTCTTGAGGGTCAAACTGTGTCGTTGACCCCCGGTTTACAACAACAACGGCTTCCGCCTCAGATTTCCTTACAATTTATCCAGGACCCCCGCTCCCGCCCGAGACTTCCTCGCGTTTTATTCATGAATCGCGCTCTCGCTTGAGACTTCCTTCGAATTTATTCTCCCGGCGCTCTGGAGTCGCGCTCTCGCTGGAGACTTGCTTGCAACTTACTAAAGAATAGCGCCCTTGCGTTGGAATTTCTTGCAATTTACTCAAGCGCCGCGCTCCTGACACCCAGGCACCCAGGAGTCGCGCTCACGCTTAGGACTCCCTCACAGATTACATAGGAATCGGGATCTCGCTGCCCTTCGTGGCCCCGTTGCAGCCCTTCGTGGCCCCCTCGCTTTGTTTCGTGGCCCCGTTGCAGCCCTTCGTGGCCCCCTCTCTGCCCTTCATGGCCCCGTTGCAGCCCCTCGTGGCCTCCTCGCTGCCCTTCGTGGCCCCTTTGCAGTCCTTCGTGGCCCCCTCGCTTCGTTTCGTGGCCCCGTTGCAGCCCTTCGTGGCCCCCTCGCTGCCCTTCGTGGCCCCGTCGCAGCCCTTTGTGGCCCCGTTGCAGCTCTTCGTGGTCCCCTCGCTGCCATTCGTGGCCCCGTTACATCCCTTCGTGGCCCCCTCGCTGCCCTTCGTGGCCCCATATATGTATGCCCTTCGGTGTCCCCGCTCGTTCGCGCCCGTGGTGGCCCCATCTGCATATGTCCTACGTGTCCCAGTTGCTACCCTCAGTTGCCCCATCGTTGCCTTCTGCGGCCCCGCATTATCTGCCCTTCGTGGCCCCCGCTGGTTCGCGCTCTTCGTGGCCCCATACGCATTCCCTTCGTGTCTCCGCTGTTGCCCTTCGTGGCCTACTTCGTGTCCTTGTGGCCCTGCTGTTGTTATCTTTCGCTCTCGCTTTCGCTCGTCGCCGTCATCGTCGACGTCGTCGTCATCGCCGTCGTCGTCGTCGACGTTGTCGTCGTCGTGGGTCGACGGTCCGCGGCCGCCCCGCCGATCAGCGCTGCTGGCCAGGCCGACGGTCCGCGGCCGCCCCGCCGCTTGCCGGGGCCCGGCCTGCAGGGAAGAAAGGTATACCCCTCAAAAGGGTTCGATCGAAGACGAAGAGGGCGGGTAACGAGGGTTTGGGAAATAGGCGTTATTGGACACTCGAGCAGATAAGTGCGAACAGTCTTAAAATGATTGTTATTGTTGTTTTTGTTGTTGTCGTCGGCCCACCCGCGACCCGCCCCGCGACCCACCCGCGACCCACCCCGCGACCCACCCGCGACCCACCGGCGACCCACCCCGCGACCCACCCGCGACCCACCCCGCGACCCACCCGCGACCCACCCGCGACCCACCCGCGACCCACCGCGACCTACCCGCGACCCATCCGCGACCCACCCCTCGACCCACCCACATTTTTCGGCGCCTGCGGCGGGTTTCTTTTGCATTCGTTCCAGGTGGAGAACCTGCGACCCACCCGCGACCCAAACCGAGCCCTCGACCCACCCGCGACCCACCACGACCCACCCCGCGACCCACCCAAAATTTTCGGCGCCTGCGGCAGGCTGTTTTTGAATTCTTTCCAGATGGAGGTGGAGAGCCCGCGACCCACCCGCGACCCAAACTACGTTCACAGAACAAGCCAAAACTTCGGCGCCTGCGGCGGGTTTCTGTTGCATTCGTTCCAGGTGGAGAACCTACGACCCAAACCGCGTTCAGTGTAAAAATCAAAATTTCGGCGCCTGCGGCGGGCTGTTTTTGAATTCCTTCTAGGAGGAGGAAGAGAAGGAGGAGGAGGAGGAGGAGGAGGAGGAGGAAAGGAAAAGGAGGAAAAGGAGGAAAAGGAGGAGGTGGAGGAGGAGGAGGAGGCGGACGACGACGACGACGATGAGGACGAGGACGCGGACGAGGAAGAGGAGGAGGAGGAGGAGGAGGAGGAGGAGGAGGAGCAGGAGCAGGAGGAGGAGCAGGAGGTGGAGGAGGGCGCCATCGACTGGGAAGGTGAGGGCCACGAGGTCCGCCGGTTCGTCGTTGATCGTTGACCGGCGCCCGCGCCCGCCCCCTCACTCTTATCCGCAATTGCAGGGGGCTGCGTATATATCGGCCACCCCGCGAGCGAATTTCGGACTCCCCGGGCTGCTCGGAAGCCCACCCAGGCTGCTCGGACGCCCTTGCAAGGGGTTCCTTTTGCCCTCTGGCCTTCTCGGAGGGTCCAAAAAGGCTTCCAATATTGCCCAAGGTAGCTCGTCGAAATCTCCAAAGCACACCAAAACGCACCCGCACACGACCGAGGCCTCCAGATTGGGCCCACATGGCCTAAAATCGTCCTTTTCCTTACGGTTTTGAAGGATTTCCGCGTGTCCAGGAAATGCCAAAAGCCGCCCAAGAGCGGCTCAAAACGGCCCATGCGGGCTTCAAACCAGCCCATGAAGCCCCTAAAAGGCCCCCCAAACGACCCAAGAGGGCCCCTTGATGGTCCAAGAGAACGCCAAAACGACCCCCAATACGATCAAAACGGGCCAAGACAGCTTCAAGAAGGCTCCAAAGAAGCTCAGGAAAGGGAATACGAACTCACATTTCGAACCTACCGCTTCAAAATCGCCCCAGGATCTTCCCACGGGCTCCGCCAGCGCCCCCGCGACTCCCCAAGAGGCCTTGATTTTTGCTTTTTGGGCCCTCTCGGGAGTGCTCTTGGAGGCCTCTTGGGGCGTCTTGAAGGCCCCTCGGGCCGTGATCATCGGGCGTCTCGGACCCCTTTTGGACCGTATTGCCTCTTGGGGCTCTCTGGGACGATCCTGAGAACCTTGACGACGGGCCATAGGAGTCCCTGCATCCTTGGGCAGCAGTGCCCAGGGTACTTCTGGACCCGGCACCCTCAGGGGCCGCCATGCGCGCGCGAGCTAGAAACTTCTCGAACCTGTTACCCGAAAACTTAGCACGCCTCCGGCCCACTGTGCCGCGAGTTTATGCGTTACTCCCCGCGAGCGCAGGCGCGTGCACATGTATGTGCTCATGCATGCATATGATACTGGGGAAAAGCCTCAATCAAAGTCTTTTTAGGGCTATAGGGCTATGGGGCTATAGGGCTAGGGCGATGAGGCTATGGGGGTACAGGGCTATGGAACTATAGGGCTATAGGGCCATAGGGCTATGAGTATATGGGGCTTTGGGGCTGTATGGCTGTAGGGCTTGATGGGGCTATAGGACTATCGGGCTATAAGGCTATAGGGCTATGGGGCTGTAGGGCTATAGGGCTGTTGGGCTATGGGGCTATAGGGCTATAAGGCCATAGGGTTGTGTCGCCTGGGCCCGAAGGAGCCCCCCGCCCCGGGGTCCTGCGAGTAGTCGGGGCGTCGCGCGGGCTGTCCCCCGCGGCCCGCCGAGGCCCCCAGAGCGAGGCGGACCGCCTCGTTGCGCGGGCTCGCGACAGCCCGTGGCGCCGCCGACGCGCAGTCTTTACCAGACGGGACCCTACAGAGGCAGGCCCTGATTGGGGAACGTACGTGTGTGTGTACACGTAGGCGTATACAATCAGGCATGATACAGATGCATGCGCTCTCGCAATTTGACGTTATAGATACAGCAACATGCGCGCGCACACACACACACACACACACACACACACGCACACGCACACGCACACGCACACGCACACGCACACACACACACACACATACACACACACACACACACGCACACGCACACGCACACACGCACACACGCACACACGCACACACGCACACACGCACACACGCACACACGCACACACGCACACACGCACACACGCACACACGCACACACGCACACACGCACACCACACGCACAGCACACGCACAGCACACGCACAGCACACGCACAGCACACGCACAGCACACGCACAGCACACGCACACCACACGCACACCACACCCACACCACACGCACACCACACGCACACCACACGCACACCACACGCACACCACACGCACACCACACGCACACCACACGCACACCACACGCACAGCACACGCACACCACACGCACA